AGAAAAAGAAGCTAAAAAATTCTCGTTGAAACTTCCACCAACCACTTAATCCAAATTCACCCCTCTGGGCCTAAGAAAAAAAATAATAATAATGAAAATTAAAAACCGTTATCTTTACAGCCCGACGTCTAATTATCACCGAAAGAATTAAAAAAAGAGGGGCCAGGTAGGGGGGTGGTTTTTAAGGCTATGCGGGCGCCCCCGTAATGTTTAGCGCGGTCCTTAAGAAAGGGCGGCTCAGGGCTCCCCCGGGTGGAGTTACACTAATTAATGGGAAGGGTTGCACCTTGCTAAATACACGGGGAAATATTTACAGGAAGATTAACGCGAATGGCTTCTATACTATACCTTACCTTTCTTCTCCCCTTATTTTAGTTATGCATAACTTTGCGCGCTTCTTGTCTTTTGTATGTGTTTTAGGAAAAGAATTGGAGAGGAACTTTGGCTATTTATTAGTGTCTGCGTAAGTTTATGTGTCTACTATGTTTTGAGGAATAGATATACTTATAAGGGACTGGAACAATTAATGAAATTTCTAGTTAATTCCAAGTGGATAGGATGTAATTTCGTCCTATATACCTACATTTCAATCCCAGCAAGTAGGTATAGGGTCACTTGAGCCTGGGAACTTTTTCGATACATTGGAAATTTTGCTGGTTTTCATTGGTTTTATTCTGGTTTTGTGCCAGTTTTTACTGGTTGTGTGCGCTGATTTTCACTGGTTTTATGCTGGTTTAGATGATTTTGTGCTGGATTATGCTGGGTTTCACCGTTGTTTGCTGGATTAGCAGGTTTTGTGCTGAATTATACAAAACATAGCATAAAACCAGTGGAAAGCAGTAAAAATCAGTACAAAACCAGTAAAAACTAACACAAAACCAGCTAAATCAGTATAAAACCAGCATAAAACTAGTAAAATCAGCCGATTTTCCCACATATCGAAATAGTTCCCAGGCGTAATTAAAATAACACCGGCCATTCAGGCTGGAGATTTGAAAAAAACATATATATACATAAGCAGTATTGGCTTATGATACAACAAATTTTAAAAAATTCGTCGACGTTTCAAAGTAGGCCTTGTTTTCTTTAAAACTCGATACAAAATGGCGTTTCTTTGTTGCCCTGTGGGCTCAAGATTGAAAACACTCTCGCCCTTCGGGCTCATGATTTAAAAAAAAAACGCCATTTCAATCCTCTAGCGTTACAGTGTTGCCAAAAGTTAAAAATTTCAATTAGCCTACAACATCACAACATTGATGTCAATTGCAACTTGTCAACGTTTTACATTTACAATTACAAATGCTCCATCAGAATTACCGTTAAAATGTGGCAACGTTGCTGTTGTAGGCCTCAATCTGAATCACAAGGCTGTCAATTGACAAAAAAAGTCATAACAATCGTAGGTGGTCCTGAAAATTAACTCGTCAATTGTCAAAAGTCATAATATTGTATGTAGGCTTGTCAGTTGTCAAAAAAAAAAATTGAGTAATTATTCCAAGTGTTTGAACCGGGTACAATCGAAAATTTACTCTGATGATAGTTTGGCTCGACCAACTGATCATTTAAAGGGTTTCCATAAAGGTTTTTCGGAATTCAGGACAAAGGAGTCAACAAATCCGGACGAAATCCGGACTTCGCCGAAATAGCTATTGAGAGTATGTAAAGTGAAGACGAGTACGACAAAATTCACATTCGTGAAAAAGGGTTCACTTTACACACGTATTGTATAATATACAAAAAAAATTCTACTACCAATAAAATATGTGTAAAAAATAAATTTAGACAAATACTTTACGCACTAGTGCGTAGAGTGAAGTAATTTACTTGAAAAAAATTACAGTGTCGACATCTGTCATTGACATTACTTCGCGCACTAGTAGTAAGCAATTTTTTGGCGAGTACAAGTTAATGCGATTTTGGTTAAATGTGGTTATATTCAATGACGTCACTAACAAGCCCTTTGTAACGTCATCGTTTGACATTTCCAAAACCAGTATTTACCCACCTCCAGAGCAGGGTTATTACCCCCTCCTCTATCAAATTGAACAGAAAATATGCGAGAATCGTCAAACTGCTAAAATAGTCCCTGGGCTCAACCAGGTGCCGGTTAACACGTGTTTTCGATGTTGTGTGGATCCACAGTATCTTAAAAAATGTAGGTAATGTTGTTACTGTTTAGAAGGATCCCAGCAAAATATCACTCAATTTTTAGGGAAACGACAAAACGGACAAAACAGTCACTTGTGAATGACAATGAAGAAACTGCAACCTTAGGTGCTTTCCAGTGACCCATTTGAGTTACTCTTGAGAAGTTCAGGAGTGCTCCACAATTACTTTGTGCGTTCCAGTGCTTAGAGTGTCGTACACTTGAACTACTCATTTCTGTTATCCCCTGCCCCCTCCTGTATCAACGTTTATTTCGGTGTTCCATGCTCCTGAAGTCCAAATTGGTGGGGATTAAGACGAGAGCGTTCCAGTGCTGCTTATGTTCCAGAAAGTCACTTTTCAGAAGCATGATACTCTAACAATTTATAGGCACTGGAAAGCAGCTCTTATTGCGTCATGGTATCTAATTTTGAATATTTTAAAACCGATCTTGTACATTATTAACACATCATCATTAATCAGAACCAGACCAGAACGTTAATAATGCGTTCTACCACCTGTTATAAGTGCGGTTGATGACATTATGACAATACCTTCTCAAGGTTAACCAAAGGGATATCCGCGGTAAAAATCGGTGGTTCGCTTCAAATCGGTTATAATCAAACATAATCTGATTATGATGGGTTATGTGATGTGTCAACTGTATCATACTCCCCTAATTCTCTCCATTCAATTCTGGGCCTGCAAGTGACGTCACTACCACCAGCTTATAGTGATGACGTGACCTGCAGACCACAATGGAATACTTGCGATTCAGGCTGTACTAGTACTGCTGTGAGTTGATTTTATTGTCGATTTTGGATGTAGAAAATGTGATTTTCGGTCTGTTCTCACAGAAGAAGTTAAGTGTTCTTGATCCTCGAGTATCCCAGAATTTGATGGTGGGTGAGTTAGGGTAGTATGACACAATTGACACATAACATATTCCATCATACTCGAGTATGCTTGGTTATTCTCGCGAAAAATTGCCGAGTGTGTAAAGTGACTATTACTTCACGTACTAATGCGTGAAGTAAAATTGTACGTCTTTTGGATAATGCGACTGAGTATGAGTGTTTTCATGATCTCCGAGTTTTCCGGACGTTGTTCCGAATTCCGGCCAGACTTCCCCGGACACCCTAAAAACCCAAACATATCCGGGTAAATCCGGACGTATGGAAAGCCTAATCATTTAAATTATTTCCTACTTTATCTCGCCCTTTATCTTACTCATTTATAATCGCTTTTGGTTTTTTACTGTATCCTACCTTATTTTCTTCTTTATTTTACTCACTAAAATCTGGAAAAACATTATGTTTGAGATTGTAATTAGGGCAACGTCGCTTTTGATCAAGTAGGCCTTGCAATGGAATGTCATTTGGCATTTTAGACAGTCGGCCATTTTCGAGTGTTTTTATCCAGTTTTAGTTTTCAATGGAAAGCAGTCTTCCTCAAATTTTATTGATGCAGACTTACTAGAAATAATGTGAAAATCCCAGTTTCTCTGGAAAACTCGATAAATTGTCTTCATGAAATCGTGAAAAAGGCAAGAAGAAGAAGAAATCCTGCAATTTCAATCCAAAGTCTCTGGATTGAGATTCTTACCAAAATGTGCCAACGCAAAAATTGAATGTGTCATATGAATTAATCTACGACAACCCTTTTTTCTCAAGTTATGACGTGTTCGATAACAAAAGTATGATCCCTCGAGAAACGAACCTTACCTACCTTAGTCAACATACATTTTGTCTCACAACTTTGTTAATTTGAGTCCGTTTTTGATGTAATTAGGCTTAAAATTCAATACAGCTTCAATAGTTTCGCAGCTGTAAAGCTTCAAAGTCTTTTCACCAAAAATTTCAATCTTTCTCTATTCATTTGTAATTTTTCAATACAATCCAGCAAATATTTTTCCCAAAGAAAAAAATAGCTTTTGCGACTATGATGGATTCAAAAAATCCACTTTCCAAAGCAAAATTAATATTTTCCCGAAACACAGCAGCCTGCTTTCCACCCATCCCTCATCCCCCAACTCCCAGCCCCATCTCTCAAGCATCCGCCTAGCAAATCGATAATCCTTTACGGCCGTCGTTGGGTCATCGGGGTTTATTTCTCCATTGGCAAATTCCAGGAGCCCGGAAACGTCAATGCACACTCAATCGCCTCCCGATTTAAATCGGGAAATTCCTGCTGCTGCTGACCCATTAGTTCCTTCTCCTGAAAGGACGACGTCGCAGCGGCCCCAATAAAAATTTAATAATCGACCACATGCGTAAACCGCGGGAATGGCCGTCCAATAAGATGCGACGCTTTTAACCGCAGCCACGCCCGTTTTAACCGCAAACCAACCACAAACCTAGGTAAATCCTGCCACGTCACTTTATAGACGTCTATAGGCTTCTTACTTTCGACCTATACAGGACCTATCCTGCTGGAAGAAAAATATCCAGATAATAATTTACATTAATTATAATACACATAATCAATTTATAATTTTTTTGTATATCTATGCTCAAATAGCTCTTTACCATACCTACTTATATTTCTTTTAATTATTAAAAAAATTTAATATCAGAAAAAAAAATTTAAATAAAAGTTTATACATTATTTTTTATTCAAAAAGAGGATCTGGTGGCGCCGCCTGTACAAAAGAACGTAAAACTTTCCTAAAGATTTTCTCCTTCCCTCAAAAAGCGTCTCAAGAAAGTGCAAAGAAACGCCTCGAAGAAAGTTTTAAAAAGAGGGGTTGAAAGTGGCGTCGGACTAGGGAAGCGTCGCGACGCCTGATGCCATAAGAATTTGGGGTGGCTAAGTGGAGAGGGCGCTAGCATCTTAAAACAATGTTTGAAAAAAACTACTAAAATCTGATTCAATTAATTTATATTTGATTTTATTATAAGGCAGTTTCTTGAAGGGCAACAACCAAAGTCTTCAAATGGCTGAAGCAAATGTCGCAAACATCATCTTCTTCGTTGGTGAAGATTGGTCTGTTGATAGATTGGATTGTGTCTTCTTCATTGGTGAAGATTGGCCTATTATGGCCAATGATAACATCTTCTTCATTAGTAAAGATTGGTCTGTTAACAGGTTGGATGGTGTCTTCTTCATTGGTAAAGATTGGCCTATTATGGCCAATTATAACATCTTCCTCATTAGTAAAGATTGGTCTGTTAACAGGTTGGATGGTGTCTTCTTCATTGGTAAAGATTGGCCTATTATGGCCAATGATAACATCTTCTTCATTAGTAAAGATTGGTCTGTTAACAGGTTGGATGGTGTCTTCTTCATTGGTGAAGATTGGTCTGTTGTGGCCAATAATAACATCTTCCTCATTAGTGAAGATTGGTTTGTTGTTGATTTGGATGCTGGAGTCTTCTTGGTTAGTAAAGATTGGTCTTGTATTGAGGATCAATTCCCCCATACCTGAGTAATAAAAATTTTGTAGTTTAGTTTATAAAAACTTGGTACTTACTTGGTACTACTACCATGATGGCAATTAGGAAAATGTATTTCATCATTTTGAATGGTTGTGTTTGCACTGAACTAACTGAACTTGGGAATTCTCATTTTATATATACAGAAAGCTACTGACTAATAATTTAATTGCCGTTATTAAATTTATAAAACTAATCTACAAATTAAATACCGGCAAATAGGTAATCCAAAATAAATACTCAAGTAATTTTTTAAGAAGCAGAAATGTAATAAAACATGATGTGATGAATAATAGATATTTTTGTTCCGCTCAGATTCACATATACCTAATTTAACGGTCCAATAAGACCAAAAATCAAGACGAGACTGACTGGAAAACTTCTCATTTTCCACGTCATAAACGCCCAAGGAGCAAACATCAAGAAACTCGATACATCTTCAAACACTGGCTCCCTAGAAAGTTACAAAGAAACCGCAAAATTCCGTTCCCCGACGTTTCGTGTTTTTATTATACTTACAGCCGGCGTGTATAATTTCTCTTTTGGAAAAGAGGTTTCAATTTTACGGAAAACGTGCTTTAATTTTCCAGAAAAAGGGAAATTCTATTTATATAATATATGGAAATAAAATACAAAATACAATAAAATATAATATCGATCAATATAAATTAATCCTAATGATTTTATGAACATAATATAATGCTGTAAAGATAATAATTAACAAATTATCATACGTAATTTTTCAATTAATGGAAAACAAGGAATATTCAGCTGCACGTGCAACCCTCTAATATTTGCGAGCCAATAATATTTCGCCAACAGTATATTAGGTTAAATCGACACTCGTAGGGCTATTATAGGGCTACTAATTAGTGGTGGCAGGTGCACCAACGCCCCCCGTAAAATTCCCTTTACCAATTACCGTTACTTTGCCTGATATTGGATAATATACATATCTCTTCTACTCTTCGTCTTAATAACGCAATTAAAATAAAAACTTTCCTAGCTAGTCATGACAAGCACCCATAAACTCTCCTGGAAGCAAAGTGAATTTACCCTCCCCAGGGTGCTGTCATACAGCGTAAACCCTTCCTAATCCTGATTAACACATACGTGTTATGTTTTGGTGTTATTCCTTTCTCCCGCCCCCCATATACTCACTTAAACTTTAATTCCTTCTATTGATGTTTATGCTAGAATATTCCATTAAAATTCCTCTTTCAACAAGCAATTAATATATAGAAGAGAGAAAGAACGGACACTGGAAAACAACAAAATGTTTCGGGAACTTTTCCTGGAATTGACCGCTTGCGGTCGTAAAGAGGGAGGCAGAAAATGGCGGAAGTTGAAAGGAAAGTTGCAAACAAAGGAATTTTTCAAGGTATAGCCAGTTTTGGAAGTTTAAACACGGTTTGTTGGAGAGGTTTTCGGAAAGCAGTGAAAAATTTATTGTTGTAATGGAAAATAGAGTTTTAGCGTTAATTTTTTATTGAATACACTTGACCATCAATTTTATAGTTAATCTGGGAAATTTATGAATAATTAGGAACTCTTTTAATGGATAAAAGTTTTAGTTATGGGCGCATGTCATCTGAACCAAATGACATATTACTTTTCTAAAAAAGTTGGTGCTTGAAAGCAAAACCCATGAATATTTTACCCAACGTCGGTCAAAGTTTTCAGTGTCATTTCGAGAAGAATTTGATCCTCTTTTAAATGACATATCGCTCAATTGAACATGTCAAATATTGACAGAGCTAGCAGTGATTTTTTGACATTTTGAAGAATTGCACTTAACATTTTAGAAACAAAATTAGACTTTTCCATTTTATTTTCAAATTTTCAGTTGTCAAAGTTGTACTAACCATTTTGTAGAGAATTTGATCCTCTTTTAAATGACATATTGCTCAAATGAATATGTCAAAGATTGACAGAGATAGAGTGATTTTTTGACACTATGTCAGAAATCCACTGAATGTTTAGAAACAAAATTAGAATTTTTCATCTTATTTCCAAATTTTCAGTTGCCAAAGTTTTTGTATTTACTTTGTATCATTTTGTGACGAATTTGATCTTCTTTTAAGTAACATATCGCTCAAATAAATATATAAAAAATTGACAGAGCTGGCAGTGGCATTTCTTAACACTGGGACAGAATTAAACTTTTCCATCTAATTTTCACACGTCAGAGTTTTTGTACTCACTTAGTGCCATTTCGTGAAGAATTTGATTTTTTTTAAAATGACATATCGCTTAAATGAATATGTCAAATATTGACAGTGATTTTTTTGACATTTTGTCAGAAGTGCACTTGAATGCTTAGAAACAAAATTAGAATTTTTCATCTAATTTTCAAATTTTCAGTAGCCAGTGTTTTTTTTGTACTTAGTGTCATTTGATGAAGAATTTGATCTTCTTTCAAATGACATATCGCTCAAATAAATATGTCAAATATTGACAGAGCTAGCAGTGATTTTTTGACACTGTGACAGAATTGCACTGAACATTTTAGAAACAAAATTAGACTTTTTCATCTAATTTTCCAATTTTCATTCGTCAGAGTTTTTGTACTCACTCAGTGCCATTTTGTGAAGAATTTGATCTTTTTTTAAATGACATATCGCTCAAATGAATATGTCAAATATTGACAGTGATTTTTTTGACACTTTGTCAGAATTGCACTGAATGTTGAGAAACAAAATTAGAATTTTTCATCTAATTTTCAAATTTTCAGTAGCCAGTGATTTTTTTGTACTTAGAGTACAGTACAGAGCTAGCAGTGATTTTTTGACACTGCGACAGAATTGCACTGAATATTTTAGAAACAAAATTAGACTTTTTCATTTTATTTTCAAATTTTCAGTTGTCAAAGTTGTACTTACGTAGTACCATTTTATAGAGAATTTGATCCTCTTTCGAATGACATATTGCTCAACTGAATATGTCAAATATTGATAGAGCTAGCAATGATTTTTTGACACTGTGACAGAATTGCACTGAACATTTTAGAAACAAAATTAGACTTTTTCATCTAATTTTCAAATTTTCATACGTCAGAGTTTTTGTACTCACTTAGCGCCATTTTGTGAAGAATTTGATTATTTTTTGAAATGACATATCGCTCAAATAAATATGTCAAATAGGTATTGACAGTGATTTTTTTTGACACTTTGTCAGAATTGCACTTGAATGCTTAGAAAGAAAATTAGAATTTTTCATCTAATTTTCAAATTTTCATTAGCCAGTGTTTTTTTTGTACTTAGTGTCATTTGATGAAGAATTTGATCTTCTTTCAAATGACATATCGCTCAAATAAATATGTCAAATATTCACAGAGCTAGCAGTGATTTTTTGATACTGTGACAGAATTTCACTGAATATTTTAGAAACCAAATTACACTTTTTGATCTAATTTTCAAATTTTTATACGTCAGAGTTTTTGTACTCACTCAGTGCCATCTTGTGAAGAATTTGATCTTTTTTTAAATGACATATCGCTCAAATGAATATGTCAAATATTAATAGTGATTTTTTTGACACTTTGTCAGATTTGCACTGAATATTTAGAAACAAAATTAGAATTTTTCATCTAATTCTCAAATTTTCAGTAGCCAGTGTTTTTTTTTTTGTACTTAGTGTCATTTGATGAAGAATATGATCTTCTTTTAAATGACATATCGCTCAAATAAATATGTCGAATATTAACAGAGCTAGCAGTGATTTTTTGACAGTGTGACAGAATTGCACTGAACATTTTAGAAACAAAATTAGACTTTTTCATCAAATTTTCATACGTCATGTCAGAGTTTTTGTACTTATTCAGTGCCATTTTGTGAAGAATTTGATCTTCTTTTAAATGACATATGGCTCAAATAAATATGTCAAATATAGACACAACTAGCAGTGATTTTTTGACACTGTGACAGAATTGCACTGAACATTTTAGAAACAAAATTGAACTTTTTCATCTAATTTCCAAATTTTCAGTTGTCAAAATTGTTGTATTTACTTCGTACTATTTTGTAGAGAATTTGATCTTCTTTTGAATGACATATTGTTCAAATTGCTATGTCAAATATTGACAGAGCTAGCAGTGATTTTTTGACACTATGACAAAATTGCACTGAACATTTTAGAAACAAAATTAGACTTTTTCATCTAATTTTCAAATTTTCAGTTGTCAAAGTTGTTGTATTTACTTCGTACCATTTTGAAGAGAATTTGATCCTCTTTTAAATGACATATCGCTCAACTAAATATGTCAAATATTGACAGAGCTAGCAGTGATTTTTTGACATTTTGACAGAATTGCACTGAACATTTTAGAAACAAAATTAGACATTTTCATCTAATTTTCATGTGCCAAAGTTTTTGTGCTTTTGTGAAAAATTTGATCATTTTTTAATTGACATATTGCTCAAATGAATACCTATGTCAAATATTGACAGGGATTTTTTGACACTGTGTCAGAATTGCACTGAATATTTGGAAGCAAAATTAAAATTTTTCATCGAAATTTCAAATAATCCAGTTGCCAGAATTTTTGTAATTACTTAGTATCATTTTGTAGGGAATTTTATCCTCTTTTGAATGACATATCTCTGAAATGAATATGTTAAATATTGACAGAGCTAGCTGTGATATTTTGAGATTATGTCAGAATTGCACTGAATGTTTAAAAAACAAAATTAGAATTTTTCATCAACTTCTCAGGTGCCAGAGTTGTTGTACTTACTTAGTGCTATTTTGTGGAGAATTTGAACTTCTTTCAAATGACATATCGCTCAAATCAATATGTCAAATATTGACAGAGCTAGAAATGATTTTTTGACACTATGACAGAATAATATTGAAGATTTAAAAACAAAATTAGATTTTTCCATTTAATTTTCAAATTTTCAGTTGCAGGAGTTATTGTAGTATCCTTTTATGAAGAAGTTAACCTTTTTTAATTGACATATCCTTGAAATTATTATGCCAAAATATTGACAGAAACGAGAGAGTAAATCGCAAGGGAAAACTGGTGTATAGGTATGTACCTACAAGTAGGGAAATTTAAGAGAAAATCCGAGGAAATCGAAGCAATCAGGGAACAATCATAAAGAAATCAAAGGAAATTATGAGGAAATCAAGGGAAATGTTAAGGATTCCGGGAGAAATTTCCAGGAAATCTCTAGAATTATCGCATGCGCAGATTCCAAAAATATTCATAGTTTGAGTATATTTCAAATCATCCATGATTTTCCTTCAAAACGCAATCCGGTATACCAAAACTGACCTGCGGCAAACCGCAAGGGAAATTTCTCGTACAAATGAGGGAAATAAAAAGGAAATCTGAGGCAATCTAAGACAATCAGGGGAAATCATAAAAATATCAAAGGAATTCATGAGGAACTTGAAGGAAATCTTGAGGATCCCGGGAAAATCTTAAGGAAATCATGAGAAATTTCAGGGAAATTAATCAATCTCTAGATCCAAGGTATGCGCAGTTTTCAAAAATGTTTAAAATTTGAGTTTATGTTATCAGGCGAACTCTTGGGTAATCTCACTGGTAATCAGAAGAAACTAGGAGAAATCATGGGAAATCATCCATGATTTTCTCTAAAGCTGCAATCTGGTGTACAAATACTGACCTACAGTATACTCCTCAGGGGTAAACCGCAAGGAAAATTTGATTTACCAAGTAAGAGATTTCAAGAGGAAATCTGAGGAAATCTAAGGCAATCAGGGCAAATCATAAGGAAATTAAAGAAAATCATTAGGAACTTAAAGGAAATCTTAAGGGGCCCGGGAAAAATCTTAAGGAAATCATGGGAATTTTAGGAAATCAGTCAATCTCTAGATCCAAGGCATGCGCAGTTTTCAAAAATGTTTATAATTTGAGTTTATGTTATCAGGCAAACTCTTGAGTAATCTTACTGGTAATCAGAAGAAATTAAGCAAAATAATGGGAAATAATCCATGATTTCCTTTGAAGCTGCAATCTAGTGTACAAATACTAACCTGCAGTATACTCCTCAGGGGTAAACCGCAAGGAAAATTTGATTTACAAGTAAGGGAATTCAAGAGGAAATTTGAGGAAATCTAAGGCAATCAGGGCAAATCATAAGGAAATTTAAGAAAATCATTAGGAACTTAAAGGAATTTTAAGGAGCCCGGGAGAAATCTTAAGGAAATTATGAGAATTTCAAGGAAATCAGTCAATCTCTGGATCTAACGCATGCGCAGTTTTTAAAAATATTTATAATTTGAGTTTATGTTATCAGGCGAACTTTTGAGTAATCTTACTGGTAATCAGAAGAAATTAGGAAAAATCATGGGAAATCATCCATGATTTCCTTTGAAGCTGCAATCTAGTGTACAAATACTAACCTGCAGTATCTCCTCAGGGGTAAACCGCAAGGAAAATTTGGGGTACAAATTAGGGGAAATCAAGAGGAAAACCGAGGAAATCTAAGGCAATCAGGGAAAATCATAAGGAAATCAAAGGCAAGTAAGGGAACTTTTAAGAGTCCCGGGAGAATTCTCAAGAAAATCATAGGCAATCTTAAGGAAATCCGTTAATCTCTAGATTTAACGCATGCGCATCCAGTTTTCAAAAATCTTTATAAATTGAGTTTCTGTTATTAGGGGAACTCTTGGGCAATCTTACTGGTAATCAGAAGAAATCAGGGAAACCACAATCTGGTGTACAAAAATTGATTTGCAGTTTACTCCTCAGTGGTAAACTGCCAGGGAAATCTGGGGTAGGACAAATTAGGAGAAATCATAAGGAAATCAGAGGAAATCATGAAGAAATCAAGGGAAATCTTAAGAAACTCGGGGAAAATCTTGAGGAGAATTTATTCGTCAATAAATTGATATTCCGCCCAAATTGATATGTCAAATATTGATAGAATTAGTGATTTTATGACACTATAATGTCATAATTTCTATAATCTTTCCAATAATATGCCAATTACTCATGTTTCTCTAATTTTTTGTCAGAGACAAAACCAGTGACGTGTCAATGCTAAACAGAGAAGAACGGCTGCTGGTTATTTATATTACATATATCATTTTGAAAATCTAATATGATGAGCTCCTAACGTTCCTCTTTTCACTCCAAAGGTTTCAAAATTTTCTCCTGACTGGTTTTCCCAAAAAATATTAAAATACAAAACAATGTATTTTCATTATTTAACTTTTTAGAAGTTGATTTTCTAGAATTTCTCCTGTTATGGGTTTTCCCTGGATTACTTCGAAAATCTAATATGATGAGCTTCTAACCTTCCTCTTTTCACTCCAGAGGTTTCAAAATTTTTCCTCCACTGGTTCCTTTAAGAAAAATATCAAAATATGAAACAATGCATTTTCATTATTTCACTTTTTAGAAATTGAGGATTGCTTCTGCTGTTGGATTTCACTGGATCACTTCTACATAACAAAATTGCATCCTTAGAATGTAATGGGAATGTTCTTTTTCAGTGTGCCTAGAATCTCCGCCAAAACCATTGCGAATGTTCTAAGAAAAGATTGTAGAAATACTGTTTGCAATACCCAAGAACTTCCTGGGAACTCCATTAGGATATTCCTAGAATATATTTTTGAGATTCTCAGTACATCCTGAAAAAAAAAATCTTGTTTGATTCTCAAAATATGCTTGAAATGTATATTCTCACATTCAAAGAATGTTTCTATAACATTATAGTTATGTTCTCAAGAGAATATTATACCAATATGCTCGAAATATTCCATGATATAAAAAAAGACACTACCTATTATATACTGTTTTGAGTAAAATTCACGTCAAGAAAGGAAATAGAAATTTTGATTGATTTTTTCCAAAGTGATCCAATAAAATGAAGTTCCTGGATTGAAATCAATAGAAAATAAAACGACAATTTCAGTAATACATATTTTTATAATAATAATATTTATTTTACAGAATAAACAGAAAACAATTTTCAACAAATTCACTTTTTACAATAATTAAAATCAATTTTTATCAAGCATTTTATTTAGGAGCCAAAAGAAAACGTCTCCAAAACTATGAGTAATTTATACATCATTAAAACTTCCATTTTATTTACATGGATTTGCACTTTGATGACGCAAATTATCAAATTTTACTTCTGGAAATTAACAAATAATAAACAATTTGCAGTGTGTCCTAGATTTTAGATGATAGCTGGTTTAAAATTGAAAAGTTGCCGATGTTTTGCTTTTGGAAAGCTTTTATCAATGTTCTATCTTTAACCCAGGAGGAGATTTGTACCAAATTATTTTCAAATTTGTATCTATATTACTTGGAATTGACTTTCCTTTGCGTTTTCTTAATTATGTATTCAGTACCACAATCTCGGCAACAAAATATCAGAAATGGCTTGTAGAATCATTCCTTCAGATCTGAAAAAAGTCAAAATTAACATCGGCAACTTTTCAGAAATGCGGAAAACAACTGAGAAAAATAATAAATCTTATATGCTCGTGAAGTTAGCTTAAGTAGTACCAAAGTGGTTCCAAACTAAATTCCCTTCTAATTAGGTACCTTCATCGTTCTGCTTCTCAAAATCACTTTAGTACGATTGATGCCTTAAACTTCTCGAACACATTTTGAACTTTGTTAGTAAATTTCCTCATTCAACAAATTATTGCACAAAAATTATCACAATCAAAAACACAAAACTTAATAAGGTCGCCAAACGACAGCATCCCCGTTTTGTCCAGTAGGCCCTCTAGGCCCATTACTACTCAACACTCTACCATCGTCCTGTCTTTGCGCAGCCGCCGCACAAGTACCATTATTCAAAAGCAAATCAGCAGTACCACCGTTCATTTGACGCTGTGATGTATTGGTCGATAAATGATCCATTACACTTTGCAAATCGTTGTGAGACTGCGCACTGTGAGTATGCAACGAGTGAAAGTTGTGAGGCTGATGATGGTTGGCTGCTGAGTAAAGTTGCGAGTACAACAGTCCAGGTAGTACCGGGTAGATTGAATTATTACAATTGCTGGACGAATAGGACGATTGAGTCATGTTTTGGTGCAAAGGGAAGTTGGTACTGCTCGAATTGTTGATGTGGTTGACTCCAATTGAAGTTAAATCATCTTGGACGGGACTATCGGCCGCACTCGAATTATCCGATAGGGATCTTGGACCTGATAGGCTGAAATCTGTGTGGTTCGTTGAGTATCTTGGTACTAATAGGGCTGATGGGTGGGAGGTTGATTGTGGATGGCTGGAGTGGTTTTGTGATGATATTAGTCCTAAGTGTTGATCGAGGTCTGTGGTTGAAGTTGAATCGGGAAGTACTGAAACAATGATATTTGATTAGAAAAAAAATTAATTTATAGACTCAATAAAGTTTGTGATAAAGTGTTTTCATTCGGGCTTAATGGCCGCCGTAAGTTGGAATTTCTTCCTGACGTTTTGCTATCACGCGTGGCTAACATCTTTAAAGGTGCTTCCATGTTCGATTCTGGTAGCAAACTGACGCGTTCCTGACCGCAAGTTGTATTTATGTGTGCGTGGTTGTGGTGGGGCTTCCCAGCACGTGACTAATCTGAACTTTCTCTGTACTCAATGGGATCTTTCTTGCGTTTTTGAGGATCGGGTTCCAAGTTTGGTTAAGTTTTAGTGTTTCTTCTTTTCTGTTTAAGTTCTCCGTATGTTTGTGGATTTCTATAGTACAGGACGATTGTGGTATCCGGAAATCGACGCAAAGAAGCTTGACCTCACCAAATAGTATTTTGTGGTTCCCTTTACCAAGTGCATGTTCCGCTACTGCCTTTTTTCCTGGTTTCCATGGATCTTTTTGTTGTTCCTTTGTATTGTAACCATTTGATAGAAAGGCCGATTTGAGGTGATCTAGTTCTTGCTCGAGATGTTCTGGAGTACTATTTCTTAACGTTGTTATAACTGCACCTTTTTGCCTCGGATGGTGATTTGAGAGTGCATGCAGGTACCTGTCTGTGTGTATGGGTTTTCGGTACACTGTGTGGCTTGGTTTTCCTCCAAATTTCTTTATGAATACAATCTAAGTAGGCGATTTCTTGGTTTTCTCCTTTTTCCATAGTAAATTGTATGCTAGAATGTTGCGCGTTCAGGTGGTCTAGGAACTGATTAGGCTTCTTTTTCCCATAGCTCCAAACTACAATGGTATCATCCACATATCGAAGTGATACCGTTGAGGATTTCTGGTCAAGATATATAGCTTTCCTCTCGAAATCCTCCATAAAGGAGTTGACATCCTAGCCCGGCTAGGTCAGTCGGTAGAGCATGAGGCTCTGAACCTAAGGGTCGTGGGTTTGAGCCCCACGTTGGGCGCCAATTTGTTACGAGTCTTAAAGCTACATGGGGTAGTTAAGGGAGAAAAGAGTGAAGGGAGGGATATGACTCTTGAAGGTGGCCTAAAGAAGAAATCCGTCTTACAGGGTCCCTTTGCAAAACAAAATAACAAAAAAAAAAAAATGTTGCTAAAATTTCGGAAAAAAAATAAAAAAAATAAAATAAAATAAAACAAAGAAAAACAAGAAATTAATTATTAATTATGCGATCTCTGTTATTCCATGTCCGCAATAGTTAACCATTCGTCATTCTTACTAAAGAGTACCTACCCAATTTGTTCACTTATTGTAATTCAATGTACGTCTTAACACGATTTTTAAACATGGAAAAACTTCTTGATTCCTTTATGCTGATAGGTAAGGAGTTAAATAATTTCATGGCATTATATGTGAACGATCTTTCATATAAATCTGTACGGTGTCGAGGTATTAAATAAAGATTATTGTGTCTTTTAGTAAATTGGTGGACGTTGGACATTTCAACAAGTTTATCATAAAGGTATTGAAGTTCTTGAAATAAATTAATCTTATAAACCATGCAGCACATATGTACCTTAAATCTCTCTTCCAGTCTTAACCAACCCGATTCCACATAATAAGAAGATATAGGTATGGTCATATTTATTAATAATCTCGGCAACCCACAATTGGGAGTTAGCGGCTCAAACTTATTTTTGATTTTAGGTCAGCAAAAACGCTTAGAGGAAACTCTCAACGTGCTCTTGAAAACTGCCTTCTTTTCTACCAAAAAAACCGATTTTTAATCCTTTCTCTCTCAGAAAAAAGCCTTGAGGAATTTCTACAGAATCTATTGGGGGACACTGGTACTTGGTACTGCTACCGATTGAATGCCTAGTACCCACCAAATAGAGGAAACTGTAATGGTACAAAGGAAGGTAGTACAGAAATATGTAATAGAACCATCGGTACTATAAAGCAAGTGTAGGAATCTGCAATAATATATAATATGAAATGTTTAAATACATAACCACAATTATTGTTAGATGGTACTGAGAAATAGCGAAATGAAAACTGTATAGGTGAAATGACAACTTAGTAGTAAATTTATGCCTGGGGAAGTAACTTTCAGTGAGACATGTCCGGAAAAGCTCAACTATATCATTAGGGAAGGTACTTGATGTTAACTCAAGAGATTCCATCAATGGCACTTTTGTGAATAGAGACACGATATCAAAGCTGACCAGGATATCGTTAGGTTAGAGAATAATATTCCTTATTTTCTGGACGAAGTGAGTATGGAGTTTTTGACGTAAGAGCATGCGGTTGAAGAAGCAATGCAAGATGTTTCGTTAGGTTGTACGTTGGTGCTCCAGGTGCACTCACTCTGGGTCTTAGCGGGACTTCAAGTTTGTGAATTATGGATAGGCCTTAGAGTGGTGGTGGAACCGCTTCCGTTTTTATGATGCCTTTCTTAACCGTGTCTGTTTGGGTAGATGACCTAGTCATTTTGTTGGTGTTTTGGAGTATGGCTTGGGTGGGATTCTTTTTTAGCTTTCGGTAGGTAGATGGATCAAGGAGTTTTTGAATTTTCCGGTTGTAGTCTTCAATTCTTAAGAGGACAGTTGTGTTGCCTTTATCCGCAGGAAGGGTGATCATTTCTGCTGAATTCAGGTTCTTAATTGTCATTTGTTCCTTTGTAGAGCGGTTACTGGTTGGTGGTCAAGCCTTTCGTAGAATGTTAGCCGGATTTCTTCTGCTTCCACATCAGGTAGTGCTCTGATAGCTTCAGTGCCGATTCGGCAACACGTCAGCCTGCTACCAGAACCGAACATAGAAGCACCTCTGAAGATAATAGCAAAACACCAGGAAAAAATTCCAACTTTCGATGGCTATAAATCCCGAATAAAAATACTTTATTAATTATAGACTCAAGTTACTTACAAGTGCTAACAGTCGAACTAGTAGTAAAAGCATCTTGCGCAGTGGTTTGATCGGGAGTAGCTCCTGAAAATCCTAAAGCGGGAGTGTTAAACTGCGTAGTGGTTGCTGCGCAAGAACCTAAAGTGCTAGGAGTAAAATAGGGAGAGTAAGCACCTGCTGCGCTGTAGCCCCAATGCGAGTTAGTTGTTGTTAGACCAAATTGAGTCATATCTGAAAAACAAAAAATTAAATTAAACTCCTTTTTATGAATCTCTTGAGACCCATTCATTATTCTCAATGAACGAGTGATTTGAATCTTAACTAACAGAATGATTTATTTTAATTAAAGGGGTGCAGGTCTTTATCTTATTTAATTCCGCGCAATTGTATAATATGTAAATGCTGCTTACTATTACAATTCCCTATTGGTGGCATTCGAAATCCAGACAACGGATCCGATGTGGCGAACGGGAAAGGCCTTTGTCCGAAAGCAAAATGGAACTGTTGTTGTTGTCCTAGAAAAGAAAGCACTAGATTAACACTGATTACTGTTCCGATTCAGTTTTGCTTATTCAATTAAGTGAGAGACAATTTACGACTTGTTGCCCCGAAAAACAAAACAAACAATTAAAATTCCTTGTCGAGACTATTTAGCGCATTCTTAAGACGAAGGGACCGATTAATGTCCCATTAAAATCTTTATGATCTGGTTGTTGGAAATTTATTTCGATTTTGTTTGTATTTTAAATTGTTCTAAATTTTTAAAGTTTTAAAAATAACTAACCATTGTAGACAGCTTTTCGAGTTTGGAGTGTTACTAATACTGCAATATAGAGTAGAAACAAACTTGTGCAAAGTTTCCCATCTTGCGTACAAGTCTTGCGGTTTTCCTTAATGCCAGGCTCTCGTTGCCTATCCTATATATATATATATGATTCGAATCCAGAAATAGCAAAAGCGTTTCGCTTTCTGGAGATGCTATAATATCAGGAAGAGCTTCACTTTGGCTTTAATTGGGAAACTTGAAGCCTGAAGGGGGAGATTTTAAGATTCAAGTTATCGGTAAATATTCAAATAGACAGCTTGGCTCCTACTTGTTGTTTATTTTAGAGAAAAATACTATTAAATTGATTGTTTATGTTTGTACTCTTTGACACTGGTATTCAAAAGATGAGCCGCGTTCATTAAATTTTGGTTTAGTGCGTTTTGGGCCATATGGCTCAAGAACAATGAAAGAAATTAGCTATTTGGTTGGTGTGTTTAAATTGTGTACTGGGTGGGTGGTCTTTATTGTACAATGTGGGTTGTTATAAAATAATGATTTAGTTGTGTTTTCAAGCAAAACGACGTCATACGTTAGAAAATAGCTTATTTTACTGAAAAACAAACAAAAGCAATTTCGAAAAGTTGCGCATTAAAGAGGGGGAACAATTACATCCGCAAAACAAAATTTTTTGATGGACTTCCAATTTCCATTGTTCCGAGTTACAAAACGAAACGTCAAATGCAGCCAAACCGATATACACGCCGGGGCTCTCCCCCCAACGTTCCGTCCGAAGTAAACAAATTTAAAATTACAATTCCGGCAATAATGAAGCATGTAAAATAATTACTGTGTTATACTGCATAGGAGGACGAAGGGAAAACGGTTTAACGGGAAAATTTAATTGTTTCCTGCGAGTGTATATTAATTAACGTCTCCAACAGTTGCCATCGGCAGAAAACCAGGGACGGCAGGACCTGACAACGTCGCCCAAGACCCCGGAAAGGACACGCTTTTCTTTCCGACAGCTGGACATTTTCCTGGATGACGTGTATTAAGTGGGGTGTGAGAATTTTGGATGGCCGGTAACACTTGGCAAATTTCACGAACAAAAAGAGCATTAAATTCTCTATAAACCTGTGCTAAATGGAGTTTGATAGCTCAAATATTTTTGAGCTATTCACCCTCAAAGTTGAAATTTAATCAAAAACTGCAAACTCAATTTTCTCAAAAACTATAAACCTGCAAATATTTTCCAATACTTACAAGTTTTTTAGAGCTTAATAGGAGCAACAATTCCTGAAAATTTCGATTCAATATCTCTCAGAGATTTCAAGTATTGGAGCTTAAAGATTTTGGAATAAAAATCCAAAGGGGGTAGGCTCTCACCGAAAAGGGTTGGGTAATGGGTAGACTGATCAGGACAAGTCTCGGCTATACGGACATAGATCAGTTATACTTTCTACCACGTTAAGACACGCAATTACAAATTTGGCGCCCGAGCAGGGACTGTTCTGCGCATATCAATGTCCGAGGAGACTACGTCATCATCCGTCCCTCGTTTTACCGAGTGGCTGTTTCTTTTGGAGACCGACCGCTGGGACAGCCGATTCCGTACCGTTGTGGAAGGATTTCCAGCTCACATTTCGCCTAAAGATTATTCACTCTATTTTGGTCTGTTCCGTGCATGTCTACCGTCCGTCCCAGGGATGGTGAATTTTAACCAATGCGGTCCGCCCATAAGTTTAACCATGGGAAATGGTTGGTTTTTTATCGTATTGAGTCGAAATCCCTTATTTCTGACCAAATCAGTCTGCACATGCGCATACCAAACTTTTGTGTTATATCTCGATTTCGACTAATCCGAGGTCGCTAATTTCACTTTTCGACACACACACGAAACCGCTCAAATTAGGTAAATAGTCAACACTTCTTCACCAATCGGATCCGCCAGCCCAATTAATTCGTTTTAAATTTCCGTCCTACGTATTTCTGAAAAAGGGGAAGAGAGGGTGTGCGCAACCAAACCGAGTCCTCTGTCCCGGTTGAACGTACGGACATAGATCAGTTATACTTTCTACCACGCTAATTCACGCGATTACAAATTTGGCGCCCGAGCAGGGACCATTCTACGCATATCAATGACATTAGCATATGACCGGGGAGACTACGTCATCATCCATCCCCCATTTTACCGAGTAGCCGTTTCTTTTGGAGACCGACCGTTGGGATGACCGATTCCGTATTGTTGTAAAAGGACTACCAGCTCACATTTCGCCAAGAGATTCTTCGCTCTATTTTGGACCATTCCGTGCATGGATATCGTCCGCCCCAGGGATGGTGAATTTCAACCAATGCAGTCCGTCCGTAAGTTTAGCCATGGGAAATGGTTGGTTTTTTTCGTATTGAGTCGAAATTCCTCATTTCTGACCGAATCGGTCTGCGCATGCGCAAACAAAATTTTCGAGTTATATCTCGTTCTCGACTAATCCGAGGTTATTGATTTCACTTTTCGACACATAAATTCATAAACCGTTCAAATTAGGTGAATAGCTAACACTTCTTCACCAACCGGATCCGCCAGCCCAGTGAATTCGTTCTAAATTTTCGTCGTACGTATTTCTGAAAAAGAGGTAGAGAGGGGAGAGGGTGTGCTCAACCAAACCGAGTCCTCTGTCCCGGTGAACATACGGATATAGATCAGTTATACTTTCTACTACGCTAAGACACGCGATTACAAATTTGGCGCCCGAGCAGGGACCGTTCTACGCATATCAATGACATCAGCATATGACCGAGGAAACTACGTCATCATCCGTCCCCCGTTTTACCGAGTAGGTAGCCGTTTCTTTTGGAGACCGACCGTTGAGATGACCGATTCTGTATTGTTGTGAGAGGACTTCTAGCTCACATTTCGCCAAAAAATTCACAGCTCTATTTTGGACGGTTCCGTGCATGTCTACCGTCCGCCCCGGGGATGGTGAATTTCAACCAATGCGGTCCGTCCGTAAGTTAAACCATGGGAAATGGTTGGTTTTTTACCGTATTGAGTCGAAATCTCTTATTACTGGCTAAATCGGTCTGCGGATGCGCAAACTTTTGAGTTATATCTCGTTTTCGATTAATCCGAGGACGCTGATTTCTTTTTTCGACACATAAATTCCTAAATCGCTCAAATTAGATAAATAGTCAACACTTCTTCACCAACCGGATCCGCCAGCCCAGTTAATTCGTTTTAAATTTTCGTCCTACATATTTCTGAAAATAGGGAAGATAAGGTGTGCTCAACCAAACCGAGTCCTCTGTCCCGGTTGAACGTACGGACATAAATCAGTTATTATACTTTTTACCATGCTAAGACACGCGATTACAAATTTGGCGCCCGAGCAGGGACCGTTCTACGTATATCAATGTCCGAGGAGACTACGTCATCATCCGTCCCCCGTTTTACCGAGTGGCCGTTTCTTTTGGAGACCGAACGCTGGGATAGCCGATTCCGTACCGTTGTGAAAGGACTTCATGCTCACATTTCGCCAAAAGATTGTTCGCTCTATTTTGGACCGTTCCGTGCATGTCTACCGTCCGCCCCAGGGATAGAGAATTTTAACCAATGCGGTCCGTCCGTAAGTTTAACCATGGGAAATGGTTGGTTTTTTACCGTATTGAGTCGAAATCCCTTATTCCTGGACAAATCGGTCTGCGCATGCGCAAACTTTTGAGTCATATCTCGTTTTCGATTAATCCGAGATCGCTGATTTCTTTTTTCGACACATAAATTCCTAAATCGCTCAAATTAGGTAAATAGTCAACACTTCTTCACCAACCGGATCCGCCAGCTCAGTTAGTTCATTTTAAATTTACGTCCTACGTATTTCTGAAAAAAAGGGGAAGAAAGGGTGTGCTCTACCAAACCGAGTCCTCTGTCCCGCTTGAACGTACGGACATAGATCAGTCATACTTTCTACCACGCTAAGACGCGCGATTACAAATTTGGCGCCCGAGCAGGGACCGTTCTGCGCATATCAATGACATCAGCATATGACCGAGGAGACGACGTCATCATCCGTCCCCCGTTTTACCGAGTGGCCGTTTCTTTTGGAGACCGACCGTTGAGATGACCGATGTTTCATGTTTACATTTGTACTGTTCAGACTGATCAGGACAGACAGACAAGTCCAGCAGGATTACCGCAATCCTTATGTACCGGTTGAACGTACGGACATCAATGACCTATTATCACAGATAGACGGATTTATAAACAAAAATATATGTTAACAACATGTCCGATTTTTTCTATCCTGACCAAACTCCCGTACTACTAAAATGCTACATTTAGTCGTAGAAATATTTATTTTATCTTTCTAACGCAGGTTCAAGTCCTGCCTTTCAATTACACTTGGAAACAAAGTACTAGACTAAACTCGGCCTCCTGCTTGTCGTAGTAATAAGACCGATACATAAGATATGTTCGTATTAGTCTGGAATACTTTTCGAATATCATCGTTTTAATTTTGGGGCGGGACCAATTGGCTCTGGTCTATGGCAGGGCATACCTGTTGAGGTTGGACTTGGATCGGGCGACTTATTTCCACCATGGACCGCCCGCACCCCAAATCCCCCTTGGCTTATAAACATGTCGTCAACACAACAAATTGTATTTTATGAATGGAATACTCTGTCTATCTGTGATAATAGGTCATTGACGGACATAGATCAGTTATACTTTGTACCACGCTAAGATACGCGATTACAAATTTGGCGCCCGAGCAGGGACTATTCTGCGCATTTCAATAACATCAGCATATGACCGAGAAGATTTTTTTCAAATCCTGACAAGGTTAAGGAAAATTGTCAATATTTTCATTGAAATTTGAATAAAGCAAATCACATTATACATCATCAAAAAGACCATTAAATTCTCTATAAATCCGTTCTAACTTGAGTTTGATAGCTCGAATATTTTCTGAGCAATTGAGCCACAAAATTTGATAATTTTCAATTTACCAAAAATTCCCAAACTATTGTTTCTTTTTTTTTTTGATATTTATATTATTTTAATTTTCTGATGTAAACGCACTCAAAGCTAAGCCAATGGAATTTCTATAATTGACTTGATTTGTCATGAATGGCGTTTTGTATTTACTGCCGTTTTTACGTCTGAGTTTACGCCGGCATTTTTTGATAAAAATCCAAAAATAAAATCTCAATATTTTCTGACAAGGTTAAGAAAAGGTGTGAAATTTCCATGCTTACTCACGAATTTGAACATAATTAATCGAGTAAGAAAATGAATAAACCCTATAAAAAGTTACAGAATCACTAATTTAAAGAAAGAAAAGAAAAACATAAGTTTGTCAGAAGGAAGATTAAGGATAATAGTTGAAAAAAGATCTCTTTACCAAAAAGTACAATAATACACCACAAACCAATATGTACAAGAACAAATCACGTGAAAAAAAGAAAATATTCAAATATTAACTTTGGAGAATAAAAATGAAGTCTCTCATCAACCAAAAGAATTTTCCAAATTAGTCAAAAATAGACTTATGATGTCAACCTTTTACTCTATGAAACATAATAATGCATCAGATGATATATTGTTATAGTTGTGAAGTTGTAGAATTTCAATTAAACACTCATATTATCTCAATAATTATTTTCCAGTCAGACTAAAATTTCCGATTACGTTTGCTCAATTAAGACAATTGTTGGAAAAGGTAAAAAATAAGTGAACAAAGGGCACATTTCCTTAACACCCCGTAATAATCAGCAATTCATGCAAATTGAGTATCCTCGACTGAATAATATATAGTTGGCAAAAGGGGAGCTGTAATTAATTAATCAAACCATTTGATTTACTAATTCCTTGCAAATTTTAATCTTATTTAAAGTAATTTAAAAAAAAAAAATGATCGTACTCACTTGTTTTGGATCTCGGCTCCCTAGGACCATCAACAGTAACTTTAATAGCTTTATTGTAGGTGGCTACTTGAGGCGGCGACGTCGATACCATTATCGTTAACGAAAAACTTTTGCCTGAAACAAGTCCATCAATCAGTAATTTACTGCTGAAAAAACAAAAAAAAAAAAACTACGTTGGTGTGTTTGAGGTGCCGTAAACCCCCTAATAATGGGGTTAAACACATCCAGACCCGAGAGTATTTTTCAAAAGCCCGAAAGCTGAACTGTATATGGATAACGAGCGTTAAGCTCCACACATACGAACAAAAAGATGCAAAGGGAAAATTGGATTTTTTTTTTCTCAGGATTTATATAGAGTTTAATGGATGACAGTGGGGCAAAGTTTCTAGAAGAGTTTTGAGTGAAATTGTTGATTTTTGTGCATTGAATATTTGAAAAAAATGCAAAAAAAAATTGTAGCCATCATAATAGGTGCAATTACGCAATAAAAGGTTCCCTCTGTACGGTCGCAAACCGAATTTGCTCCCACCCCCCTCAGGATAATTCAACAGTGGAGAGTATTATGGGCCCGAAACATTGATCCGGAAAATGCACTTGAAACCTGGCGGGATGATGCAAAATGGCGAACTTGCCGCGGCATATCCCCAAAACTATCATCGTGTGCAATATCAGAAAATCTAATTAGCCATCGCTTTCAGCTCTAATTTGGTTCACGAAATTACCGCGCGGAATTTTATTAGGGGCGAAATTTCCATTGCATAGGTAACTGAGACATTTTTTTCCTGCCCATATTAATTATTATCATTGAATCGTTTATCATTAATATTTAATTAGCGTTTTGAATTGGAAAGAGTATGGATGCTGCCATCGAGGGGTTTTTGCCCATTATTCATTTTAATATTTGATGCCTAATGTTTTGCGGTCAATTTAAATAATGCTAATCGTTTTTTTTTTTTCAATCGGCTAATTGAATATGAGTTTCCCAAAAACCGTAAATGAGCTTTGATTATTAATTGATTGGTTTTGAATTATAAATGAATAGTTGTTAATTTGGACAAATCATATCTCTAATTCTATTATAGATATATGTCTCTAGATAGTATATCATACTCAGAAGCTAGTGATATGGTACCAAAAACAAATAGAGAAGGATTCTCGCCTGAACCCTATCTATGACTTCCCAACATTAAAAAACCAAAATAAAGAATCAGAAATCCCAGGTTTTGCAAAAATCAGTCAAAATAGACAGATATTTCAAGATAGGCAGAAAAGACAAATAATAGAAGGCAGACTTGCTTATAGCAACGAAGTGTCTGTTTAAAAAAAAGAAGAATTTTATCTTCGCCAGTAGTGAAAAATGTTTTTCTCCCCAAGCTACGAGGACACCAACCACATCAATAAAGTTTCTCACAAGAACTACCAGACACACAGGAATACCATAAAGACTCATTCCGGAAACCATCAGGGGATGACGAGATCAGGAAGAGATTAATAGCAAAGATGTCATTCACAGATGTGAACTTAACTAATAACTACAAGATTTACCTAACTGAAGATATCCATTGAGAAAATCCAATGGAGCAGGATAAATGGTGAAGACCAGAAAAACACACCAAATCAAAAACCCCATGAATAACCCACCAGATAGAGTAATGAAAATTCTACAATGGACTATGAGATCAATCATTTTAAACATACCTAGACAACTTGAAAATTTTAATACAAGAATAAAAAGCTGATGAGATTATATAACATTGAATGAATGGTCTCTTATCTCCTTGCCTATCTTCTCTCTTCAGATTTTTTTTGTCTTCCTGCTGGCTTCCAATCAAGAATCTGTTTAGGCAGTCTCTCATCAGACATTCTTTGTACGTGGCCATACCATTATACCTGTTGTGTTCTTATGTCGTCAACGATTGTCCTATTTATACCCATGATTTGTCGAATTCTGTTGTAAGTTACTCTTTCCGCTCTAGATTTTCCTGCAGCACGCCTCCAGAAATCCATTTCTATCACTTCGAGGGTACGTACGGTTCTATCCTTCAGCTGCCATACTTCGCTTCCATAGGAGACAATGTTTTTTACAATTGTGTTGTATATTCGGTATTTATTGGTTTTAGAGATATAATTGTATCATAGAACACGGTTTAGTATAGATATTGCTTTTCTTCCTTGAGCATTTCTATCTTTAATAGCTTCATCTAGCGTTCCACTACTTGACATCTTCACTCCCAAATATTTGTATTTTTCGCAACCTTCAATAGTTTGACCATTATTCAGTGGCAGACTTTGTGGCGGTCCGCCGACGCAGATGTATTCGGTTTTAGATTATGTTGACTTCTAATCCCCATTTGCTATATTCTGGTCATATATTCAAGATCGTTAATATCTTGCGCCATTACCACTTGATCATCTGCGAAGCCTAGGGTATAAAGCTTGTTTTTTTTTTAAAGATAAAAGTCAAAATGACATTATGTTGGCAATACAATGTAATATTGTCAATGCTTTCAAATTTTTTATATAAAAAAGGCTTGTGTTGCCAACATAGTTGCTAAATTTTTGACTTGGGAAATTATCTTTAAAAAAAAAACAGACTTTAGATGGTGTTGTCGTTAAGCGGGATACCCATCATATTGCTACGTTTATGTTTCCATTGTAGCAGCGCTTTTTTTAAAAATATTTTGAAAAGTGTAGGAGACAAACAACAACCTTGCTTTGAGCCTTTGTATATGAAGAAACCGTTGGAGAGTGTGTTTCCAACTTTTATTTTTACATGAGAGTTTTTGTTAATTTCCCTTATGACTTTAATTATCGTTATATTGATGTTTGTTTTCTCCAGAGTTTCCCACAGTTTAACCATTGGAACGCTTTCGTAAGCTTTCTTTATTAACGTGTGACATTTTCTCTAGAATTTGTGTTGACACAGAAAAGGTGATCAATAGGGTCGTTACCTCCTGTTATTAAAATTATATTGACCATTGTTTTTCGATATAGTGAGGCCTAAAACTTGGCCATGTCATATTGGTTTTATTGAAAATTGTTTCCTGGATTATTTAAATTAATTTAAAATTTAAACATTTTTTGTCCTTGTCGAATTGTTGGTCTCTTTCTCCCATGACGTCACTAGGCGGGCATGCGCAAAGCAGTTGCAAACAAATCCATCAACATATGCAATTTTGTGAGGTTATGTTGTTTTGTTATTATTTTGGAATAACGTTGATCGTTGTTATATTTTCATTATATTTTGAGTTTTTCAACGGTTTTTCCGAGGTTTCAAGAAAAATATTCAAAAGAAACGTGTAATAAATTCAAGGTAAGTCATTGTTTCTCATTATTTGATGTTATTAAGGTCTCAAATAGAGCATACATTTCAGTTTCAGTGTACCCACCTAAGTCCTACCTACTGTTCACTATTTGGCTATGCATTTTCGTAAATGTTTTGTTCCTTCTTGTAAAAACAGTAATCTAAATTCGAAGAAAATCTTTATAGCTGTCCCCAAAAATGAACAAAAAGAAGAAGTTGGTGTTTAGCTGTGGAAAGAGTTAATATATTGTCTAGTATTTCTGGTGGAATTTATTGCTGCGAAAGATCATTTCAATGTAAGTAAATTTAGTTGCCAAATTTCATTTTATAAACATCTATTTTCTGTTTTACATTAGGTACCTATTTCAAAAATATGAATATTATATTATGTTTGTAGATGGAACAAGATTGTGATAACTAGATGCAGTTTAGGATGACAAACTGCAAATTACTTATGAAAAAAAAAAAGTGGTTCCACATATTAATTTAGGTAGAATCCGAGTTTGTGAAGAAGCTGAATAAAAGAATTGCCAGCTTACGAATCCATATTGAAAAAGTGATACAAAGATTGTGAGAATTAACAATACTCGAAGGACATTCCTGCATTGACCATCAGCTTGTGGCAAAAACTGATTATTTAATAATTATTGCTTGTGGAATAGTGAATTTGCCATTAATCAAATAAATTTTATGTCGAAGCTAGAAAAAAATGCTTTTTTGAATATATTGTATAAAAAAAATACCTATTACTTTTTTTTACTGCCAAAATAGTACATTATACACCTAGAGACTAAAAAGGTACTTTTAATCCCGAAGTGAGGGCTATAATTTGTTGAGGGATTAAAAAACACTTTAGTCCTGAAGTGTATACACTATCATATTAATTAAAAATTGATCCCTCTAAAGTACATAAAATAGTGTATACATATCGGGACTAAAGTGTTTTTTTATTCCTTCAACTTTGGACTACCCTTTCATTCCCCGTTCCATTTACTCCACATGACTGAAAATACATTTTTCTTCCAAAATTCTTCAGCTTATTCAATAATTACTTTAATAAACCTTATGTTTAAGTCTAATTCAAAAATTGTCACTTCATTATCCTCTCCAAATTTGGGACTTGCCACACAAAACAGTCCTTTTTGTCTGTTACACAATAACATTTGTAACTGAAGACTGAAGTTGGCACATGTATTTCGTCATTATATTTCCATTTTCCTTAATGTAGTTTTTCAGTCTCCTTCTTGCTAGGACATTAAACTTCAATCACAAATTCTTTGCTTATTCCATCTGGCGATGCTCCTAACAGAGGATATTCTGCTGTCTCTTTTCAACTGCACATTAATGCACATAGCCAATAGCATTGTCACCATAACTGGCTCTCGCTGACCTAAAAATATATGAAAATATAAAACTGTTACCCTGCTACTAAAAATGTAATATAATAATGGGCCAAAGCTAAACCAATACAATAATTATGCCAATATTTCACTACCCACCTTTAGGTTTTGACCTCGTTTTTGACTCCTCTTATTTCTGCACTTAAATAATCCGTATTTTTGGCAAAAAACTCTTGCAACATCGCATAATTTAATTCAGGTAAATTTTCGCTGGAGACTTAAAAAAATCCACTATCCATCTTCTCACATAAACCGACCAAATAAACGGGTGAAATAAGTATTTATTTTTTATTTTATAAATCAACCAGACTAGACAGGCGAATCAAAATAAACAAAATATCTGACATAACCTCTAAAAGAAGATAGGAGATGGGCCAGTGGCATTGCAGCCAACTAGACAACTAGGAAAT